ATTTTCAATACCAAAAGTCCTGCAGACATAGTATACATTTGAGTAAAATTTTATAAATCTACTTAATTTCGTTCGGAAGCTAGAGTGATTTCCACAGACGGACGTACATCGCTAAATCGACATAGAGTTTTATGCTGATCAAGAATATGTATACTTTGTGGGGTCTAAAATGTATATTTCGAGGGGTTACAAACGGAATGACAAACTTAATATACCCTCCAGGTTATCTTGCCTGTAATCTCGAGAAGAAGAAGAACAAGTTCCCTTTTATAACTTAGTAGGCTTGATCTAAGAATCGCGATAGGCATATGCTGACCTCAAGACGGGATGACAGTATTCCTCACTACTGTATACTATGTGAAGAAGAGATAGAGACTCAGGTTCAATACGTTCTACGCAGATGTCCAATTGGCAAGTGGGAGATAGAAACTCTAACGTGCCTTTCGAACTTTGAAAATCGTCAGAAACCCGAATAGAAGGTGATACTATCATATGGGTATGATCTGTAAACATGAAATTTAAAAGAAATCGGATATTGGGAGCTACAATCATTGGGACCCATGTGGACCCCTTTTTGCCATTAAGGTGTTAATCCATTAAAGACTTCAAATATCAAATTTCTGTTGGGTACTATAGACAATGGAGGTACATTCATATAGGAGCTGTACGAAAACAAGAACAGAATAAGGGCATTTTCAATACCAAATATGCCAGGCACAATGCAAACTGTTAGGCCAAAGCTCTATGTCAAACAATGCGGGCTGTATATTGATTTGAAACCATTAAAAAGACATTAAATTTCACCGGGCCGAACTTTTAATACCCTCCACCATTGGATAATGAAAGCATTTGTAGGCAAAAGTGTCTGCATTCAAACGTGATCCACTTTAAACTACAAACCCCAGTAAGATCGATAGGAAAAATAGTTGGAGCCGTTATATGGGGTCTATACTAAAACGGGAGCCTATATATATATATTCAATGTTCTGCAACAGGAGCTGGACCCATTACGAGCTACAAATACCACTTTTAGACAAATCCGTTGAAAAAAGGTGGCAAAAATCATGAAAATACCCACTTCGGAAGCTACCCTTATATGGTGGCTATACAAAAACGTGAACCTTTGTATACAATGTTTCGCGACCGGCACTAGAAGCTGTAACGAACTACAAATACAAATTTTTAGACAATTCCGGGGGGAAATGTGGCTGAAACCATCAAAATACCGAATGTTGAGAGATTTCGTTATATGGGGACTATACGAAAATGTGGACCTATATGTACAATTTTCCGCCACAGGAACTAAAGCCCATAACAACAGAAAAGCGTGGCGGAAAATGGACTGATATTCCCTATTTCAATGCCAAACAACCGAGAAGCGAAATCGCTGTCGGCCCAAATTTCAAATAGTTTTGACGACAATTAAACACCGGACATAACCCACTTTCCTCAAAACCCCAACACAAACATCAAAAATGTGCAATGGAAGCCCTCTCCTGAAAATTGTCATTACTATTACAATTAAATAATAAATTTGTTTTTCTTTTTTCTCTCTTTCCCTCCTCCCTTCTCGCAGTTGCTTCTGATGCTGATCACTTGGTATCACTAATTGATGAAGTCTCCTATATATCACCCCCCTCACCATTGCTCTCGCAATACGATGACATACCACCGCATCTGTTCTGCAATGGCGACAATCGACCCATGGACTGTGGTGAGAATTGTGAATGTGTGCATAAAATCGATTTACCCCTGAACTCGATTGTGGAAATTGTACTGGTCGATGAGGTGCAGCAAATCAATATCAGCCATCCATTCCATTTGCATGGTATGCCATTTTATGTTGTCGGCATGGGTCGATCACTGGATGAAGAGACACAGCGCATGAGTTTGAAGCTGGCCATTGATTTAGATCGTCGCGGTATGTTGGTGAGAAAATTCTTGAAGCCCTCGCTAAGAGATACGGTTCCGGTGCCAAATAATGGTTATACCATCATAAGATTTCGTGCTGATAATCCTGGCTTTTGGCTGTTCCATTGTCATTTTCAATATCATATTGTGATCGGCATGAATTTGGTATTTCAAGTTGGAACGAAAAAAGATTTGCCACCCGTGCCGGCTGGATTTCCCAAGTGTGCTGATTTCAAGCCACCCATTAAATTGTGGTAATGGAAAAGTTGAGATGGAAATTGGAGTGGCTGGAGGAGAAGAACTGTTTTGTTTGGCTGCTGTTTGTCTTGTGGGCGGCATCTTGGATGAAGTTTTTTCTTAGGTTCTAAAAAAGCTTTCTTTAAATTTTAGTTAATGTTTTTGTTTTTATTATTATTATTTTTTTGTTTAATATAACAACTACAATGTATACTAATTAAAAAACCTAAATAAATGTTGATTTTTTTACAAAAAAAAAACCTTAAATAATTAATTAATAAATAATAAATTTGTTTATGTTTTATAAAATATGTATAGCTTAAGGCCATTGAAATGTTCTTGCTGTGTATTTCTTTTTTTTAAGTTATTGCCAAATAAATGAAACTTTTTCTATGTTTTTTTGGGAAGGATGTGTGTTTTGTTTAGGCGACCTTGAGAATAGATGAGATAGCAAGCGTACCTACGTACAATGTTATACCAGGCGGATTTGAGAAGACATTTAAAAACAAGTCCTAGGCCCCAATAAAAGTTGGCCAAAATAAAAATCTCCTCGTCCCAAATAAAAAGTTATCTTGCTCTCGAAATACTAAACTCTCTAAGAAGGAGCTGAGGAAGTTTTTTCCTATAAATTCACATTTTCCACAAAAAAATATTTAGATCCCCGAATAACAATGTTTCCAACATAAATATATTAAAACAAGTAAAAAAAGCAGCAGTTAGTTCGGGCTGAACTTTTAATACCCTCCACCATCTAAAACGAAATTGGGAATTTAAAAAAAAATAAAATCCGCTAAAAATTCTGTTAAAATCTTAAAAATACTGAATATAGCCGCTATGTTGGGGTCTATACGAAGACGTGGACCTGCATAGGCAACTTTTGTCATAAGCCATTAAAATATTCAAATGTGAAACTTAAAAAAAAAAGTAAAAAAGTTCGGCATTTGTATGCCCTTCACTATTTGGACGAATTTTGCAATTTTCGAGAAAATAAAATCCGTTTAAAAATTCTGTTAAAATCTTAAAAATACCGCATGTATACCGTATATAAGGGTCTATACCAAGACGTGGACCTGCATATGCAACTTTTGTCATAAGCCATTACAATATTCAAATGCGAAAAAATCGGTTGAATAATGTACCTAAAATCAGAAAAATACCAAATATAGGCTGCTACCGTTATATGAAGAGCTGGACCTGCACAGACAATTTTCTGTCATAGGCTGTAGTATCCATGACGGACTTCAAATACCATATTTGAAACAATTCCGGTGAATAATGTAGCTAAAATCATTAAAATGCCGAATATAGGGAGGTACCGTTATATAGGGGTATACGAAGACGTGGACCTGCACAGACAATTTTCTGTCTTAGGCTGTAGTATCCATTACGAACTTTAGATACCAAATTTCAAACAATTCTGGTGAATAATGTCGCTAAAATCATAAAAATGCCTAATATAGGGAGGTACCGTTATATGGAGGCTATACGAAGACGTAGACCGGCACAGATAATTTTCTGTCATCGGCTGTAATATCCATTACGAACATCGAATACCAAATTTGAAACAATACCTCTGAAAAATGTCGCTAAAATCATCAAAATGCCAAATTTCGGGAGGTACCGTTATATGGGGGCTATACGAAGACATGGTCCTGCACAGACAATTTTCTGTCATCGGCTGTAGTATCCATTACAAACATCGAATACCAAAATTGAAACAATTCCGGTGAATATTGTCGCTAAAATCATCAAAATACCGAATATAGGGAGGTACTGATATATGGGGCCTATACGAGGATCTGGACCTGCATAGACAATTTTCTGTCATAGGCTGTAGTAGCCATTACGAACTTCAAATACCAAATTTGAAACAATTCCCGTGAATAATGTAATCAAAAGGAACTGCTTGTGTTAATTTTCGGACAATTCCATTGGAAAATGTGGCTGAAATCTTTAAAATACCGAATATCGGGAGGCATTGTTATATGGGGGCTATATGATATCGTACAACTATATAGACAATTTTCTTACAGGTGGTAAAGAAGTCACGAAGAACTCCACGTGTAGAATTTCAGACAATTCCATTGGAAAATGTGGCTAAAATCATTAAAATATCGAATATCGGGGGGTACCGCTGTATGGGGGCTATACGATATTGTGGACCTATGTAGACATTTCTCTTCCAGGGAGTAAAGTACTTGGAAAGAACTTCTAGTATGGATTTTTAGACAATTCCATTAACAAATTTGGGTACAATCATCAAAATACCGAATATCGGGGTGTACCGTTGTATAAAATCATAATATCGAGGGTACCGCTATATGGGTGCTATACGATATCATGGACCGATATAGCGCATCTTCGAACTTGACCAGCCTGCATACAAAAGACTGATCTGTGCAAAATTTTAGCTTCCTATCTTTATTCGTTTTGACTCTAGAGTGATTAGACCAGACGGAGGGACGGATAAACGGACAGGGCTAATTTAGAATTTTACGCTGTATACTTTGTTAGGCCTAAAATTATTATTTCTGTTGGGGCAACCCACATTAACAATATGGCATCTCATGTTGCAACATCCTATACGGCAACGCCGATATAATAGGACGCCGTGCTACCGCCATTTTAGCTTGATCAGTCTTGTTTTGTCTGTCACTCGAGTCTGACTCACTACATTGTAACTTCTTCATTCCTTTCAAATTAGTAGCTGTGAACGCTCATCATCCAATAAATCTTTACACCTTTAGTATTAACAAACATTGGCTTTTATTTCAAACCATAAAAGTACAACAAAAGTGGCGACGAGGATAGTGGAAATTGATCAATAATTGCACACACAACAATCCGCAAAAATGTCTCAAGACATAATTCTACAATTGTTAACAGAGCAACAAAAAGCAATGTCGCAACAAACGCAACTGCTAAAGCATATGGCTGATCTTCTTCAAGCACAAGGAGCACCAAATTCACCACAAACATCAAATTCATCCAAAGCAGCACTAATGGAATCACTAGCACAGTCAATGACAGCATTCGTATACGAGCCAGAGAGCGGTCTGATATTTCAAGCGTGGTACAACAGGTTTGTGCATGTTTTCGAAAAAGAAGCAAGCTCACTCGAAGAACATGACAAAGTGGCCTTGTTATGGAGAAAAATGTCGAACCAAGTACATGAAAGATTTGCCAACTACGTATTACCAGCAAAACCTGAAGACATGACTCTAAAGGATACAGTAGAGAAACTCAAGAAACTCTTTGGTAAAACAGAAACACAAGTCTCACAAAGATACAAATGCCTTCTGCTAGCAAAAGGCGACATCGAAGATTTCAGAGAATACGCAAGCAGAGTAAACCTACAATGCGAACTATTCAAAATGAAAGAACTGAAAATCGACCAATTCAAATGTCTCATTTTCGTCTTAGGACTCAAGTCAGCAAAGGACAACGACATAAGACTTCGCTTACTAAAGGTACTGGATGATGAAAACACTACAATGAACCTAGATCAACTAGTAGACGAAACACAACGAATTCTAGATCTCAAATCGGACAACATTCTCATTGAACATCAATCAAAAATCGTCTGTTCACTCAACAAGCACGCAAAAGACTTCAAGAAGCACAAAACACCCAATTCACCCTGTTGGTATTGCGGAGACCTTCACTACGTCAAATTTTGTCCTTTCCAGAAACATAAATGCACAACATGCAATCAAGTGGGTCATAAAAATAACTTTTGCAACATCGCTAAGACTGGTAAGAATTTCAAATCATCGTCTGAAAACAACCAGAACGAATTCAAGAAATACAGCAATTCAAGGAAATCATTCAAAACTAAGGCAGTTTTCAAAACACACAACATTAATTTCCGCGACTTAAGGAAATACACAACTGTCCTAATCAACAACAATCCTGTAAAACTTCAAATTGATACTGCATCAGACATATCAATTGTATCTATCAACACATGGAAAGCTATAGGTAAGCCTGAAGCCTACGAAACTTTTGACAACGCTAGCGACGCAAACGCAAACTCAATCAAGCTCCTAGCAGAATTTCAATGTGACGTCACAATCGACAAAACATCAAAAACATTAAAATGTTATATAACAGATATAGAAAAACTCAATATCATGGGAATCGATTGGATTCAAGCATTCAATCTATGGCAGAAACCAATAACCTCATGGTGTCATCAAATAAACTTCGTTGATGAAATAGCAGAATTGAAAACGAATTATCAATCAGTTTTTGATAACAGTACCCCAGGTCTGTGCAAAACAAAAGTCAAAATACAATTATTGTCAAACACAAAAGAAATATTCGTTCCCAAACGACCAGTTCCTTTCGCAGCAAGAAAGGAAATTGAAACAGAACTCCTCAGATTAGAAAACGCAGGAATAATCACACCAAATCCAAATGCACCAGAAGGTAAGTCTCCAGCAGAATCCTTCATCGGAAGAAAAATGAGAACGGTCTTCGACGTTCTAAGGAAGCAACAATCGCCTGAGTATAACGTCAATCACAAAATGGAACAGCAGTACAATACCAAACACGGTACCAAAAACAGAGAGTTTAGCAACGGAGAATTGGTCTATGCCAGAAACTTCAAAGGAAACAAAAGTTACTGGACAACAGGCGAAATAGTCGAGCGTAAAGGGAAAGTCATTTACAACACTCTAATCGACGTTGGGGACAGGAAAATTCTAGTACGAGCTCATACTGATCAACTCCGACATAGAGAATCGGTAGAGTCAAGCAGTCAAGAACGACAAAAACTACCATTGGACGTACTACTTGAAGAATTCGAAATCGCTTTGCCTAACCATCAAGAACATTTTGCAACTCCAACAGGTTCACCAAACTGGACACCTCAAAGAATAACAAGTCGCAGACAACCAGTCGAACCTATTTCAAGATCACCTTCTCATCTTAAGGAGGGAGATGTTGGGGCAACCCACATTAACAATATGGCATCTCATGTTGCAACATCCTATACGGCAACGCCGATATAATAGGACGCCGTGCTACCGCCATTTTAGCTTGCTCAGTCTTGTTTTGTCTGTCACTCGAGTCTGACTCACTACATTGTAACTTCTTCATTCCTTTCAAATTAGTAGCTGTGAACGCTCATCATCCAATAAATCTTTACACCTTTAGTATTAACAAACATTGGCTTTTATTTCAAACCATAAAAGTACAACAATTTCGATGAGTTACAAACGGATTGACGAACTTAATATAACCTCCTTACTATGGAGGGTGGAGGGTATAAAAGCCAACCATCTGCTGGTTGTCTGTATCACCAAATTAAATTAAATTTGGTGCAAATTGTTTCCTTCAAAATACCTTTATTCGGGAGGTATCATTATAAATGCTAAATGCTGACAAAGTTCCGATACTGACAACATTTTTTTCTAAGAGATACTCTAAATATTATTATATTAAATTAAACATGTAAACCCTTCGAAAAGTTCGACCGATCATTTCACTTGTGAAAAATTTAGTGGTGGTTTGAAGTGCTAAATAACAGACAATTCGCTAAAATATTTTAGTAATAACTCCAGAGAAACGAAAATCAGGAGGCACTGCATTATGGAGATAATGCTTGGGCGTGGACCAAATAGATCATTTTCAATGGTCTCTCAATCTCTGTAAAACAATGTCAATCGTGATACGAAGAAAAATAATAGGCTGCAATAACGGCTAGCCATTTGAAATCATTTTTGAATATTCAGTCATTCTATACCAAATTACCATAGAGACGAGCATGGAGTCGCCTTTACGGTTACCATAGTAACCTCTAATACCAACCATCCTAAAAATCCTTTCACCACACATTCCAACCAAAACAACACCAACAAATACCGTATTTTCCTCAAAAACGAAAAGCAAAGAAACCATGTCCGAAGAATTGCAAAAAGCTGGTCTCTTCATTGATGACATTTATCGCTTGCGTGTCCAAGATCCACGCATTGCCAATGAAACGAATGAACTGCGTGAAGAATGCCTCGAATATGCCAATAAATTGGATGAATTCAAAAAATTAGCTGTGGAATTTGATAAAATTCTCAAAAACTATGCCAAAGATGTGGAGAAGGAGAAGCTACGTGCCATCGGCACACAGAATCGTTTGAAGACAATGGCCAAGCAGAGGCAGGCGGAACAGCAATTGTATCAGGTAAGATAAAATCTCATACCTTGTGTTTATATCAAATGATATTGATTGCATTTTTTTTTTTTCCAGAGTAAAATCCATGAGAAAAACTTAGAATTGGAGCGATTGAAGAGTGAATACCAATATCTGCAGCGAGTCGAATCGGAGCAACAGGAGTTAATAAATAATTATTTAATGAATCAATAAAAAACCAAAGGAAATATTTTGAAACTATTTAAAAATTATTAATTCATAGACGAAGGTAGTTAAGTTTTTTTTTTTTTGGAAAAAATCATGCAGGGATAAAAATAATGGTAGAATACCCTCTTGATCCATCTTGAAATCCTTAGCCTAAAAATAATAGAAAGACAATATATAGGTTTTACAGTCTCCATAGGAAATATCTTTCCCATTCACAGATAAAGAAAAGGAGTGTCTCGCTTCACTACAGTTCATTTGAGCCAGAATTGGAGAGCTATGTCTTAAGAAAAATTATGTACCCTTAGGCCACTTCCAAATTGCCTAAAAAGAGATAGACAAAAAATGTCTAGGTCTGTGATTTTTTCCAAAAAGAGTAATTTACAGATCCTCAGATGCTTTTCTTATTTTTTGCATTCAAGATGCATTTTCCATAGAAAAAAAATGAAATATTAGAACCTTATGGAAATTTGGAACTTTAGTTGTTTTAATTTCTATGCGAAAAATGCAAAACTTTTATGGAAAAGGAAACATATTTGTCCCATTGGAAAAATAAACTCTTGGGAGAAAATTGTTACCCTTTGTGTGGGAGGTATCAGAAGGGGTGGGCCGACACATATCATCTTCACACTAGATCTGGCGTTAGTAAAAATATTGGGATGTGTAGATTTTGAAGAGAACCCAATGCTTATTTCACAATTTTTTGGCCGTTTTGCTATTCAAAATTATAACCCCTTTGTGGGGAGATATCAAAAGGAGTAGACCGACACATCCCATCTTTATACCAGATCTTAGTAGAAATGTTGAAATTTGAAAATCGGAGGAATATTTCGAATTTTATGGGAAATACAATTATTAAAAATGTTGACCCTCTGTGGGACAGGTGCCAAAAGAAGACGCCCACAGCAGATCTTGTGTTAGTATTGCAAAGCGTGAAGTCTAAAGTGACTCGAATGCTTAGTTTGAATTTTATGAAAGTTTTGGTTTTTTAAAATTTTAACCCCTCTATGGGATAGGTACCAGAAGGAGTGCAACGACATATTCCATCTTCATACCAGATCTTGTGTTGATAACAATATTAGAATGTGCTGAGTTTGAAAGGGATCGGATGCACATTTCGCGTTTGATGAGCTTCATGGTTATTCAAAATTTTGACCCGTTACGAGGTGGATACAAGAAGGAGTGATTCGTTCTAGCTGTTATTTCAATCAGAAATTGTGTTGTTAAAAATATTGGGATGTGAAAACTTAGAAGAACATCAAAATGTTGACCCCTTGTGGGTGAGGCACTTGATGGACTGGACCGATATCATACATTTTCGTACTTGACCTAGCACTGACGCAAATATTAGGATTTGCAAAGTTGGAGCCAAATCGGATCATCCTTTCTCTTTCTGTGCAGAAAACATATTTTTTGAAAATTCCGACCTTTTTTGAGGGAGATACCGGAAGGAGTGGACCGATGTATTCCATCTTAACACCAGATCTTGGGGTAATAAATATATTGGGATGTGTGAAATTTGAAGACAATCGGACTCTTACTTCACATTTTATAAAAGTTGTAACTATTCAAAATTTTGACCCTATGTGGAGGAGGCACTTGATGGAATGGGCCGATATTGCTTATTTTTGTACGAGAATTAGGGCTGATTTAAATATTAGAATTTGCAAAACACTACGTGATCGTTTCTAGTTCTATAAGGTGAATTATTTTCTTTTAAAATATTGACATTTTTTGGGGAAAATATTTAAAGCAATGGACCGATAATACGATGTATCAAATTTCGACCAAATCGTATACTCTCTTCCAAAGTTATCATGCGGGATTTAAAAATATCCTGAAATGGATTTGGTCCAAAGCTACGTCTAAACCCTTTATTTCGATGAGGCACAATGGTCCAACGGTATAAATGTATGCCTGAATCAACCGGTCTTTCAAGGCAACAGTAACTAAGGTATTTCAACAATGCAGTATGTCATAATAGGCGCCCAATTAGTTTATTTTTTTTTTCTTTTTATTTCATTTTTCTCAAAAACTGAATACAAAACTTACCGATACTTAAGGCGGCATCTAATCATCTCTTGGTATTTTGCTTGTTATTGAAAAATGTATGCCCCTATTGCAAATCAATTTTGAATTCATTTCACACCCTTATTCATAACTTAACACATAATTTCCTTAAGCGATTGTACATTCTTACGATAGCAGGCAAAGCTACATAACGGTATATTAGTTTTTGAACAATTGTATACCTTTGGTTGTCCACAACCGGGCATGCCGCAAAGTTGTCTTGGCGGTGGCTCCTTTGGCTGTTGGGGTTTGAGCGGGAAATCAACGCCAACGGGTAGGTGTATGAAACCACCTTCGGCGGTATTTTTATAACTTATCACAGGAGTGGCTTCTTTGACATTTTTTGGTTTGGCAGATGAACGATTTTTACTCTCCTGCTTCTTGAGCAGACGTTCCATGGTTTTCTTTTTGTCTTTTTCACGTTTTTCGTCGGCTTGTTGTTTGCGTTTTAGCGTCTTTAGGGCAGCTTTTTGTATTTCCTCGGCTGTTTGTGGTTTCTCTTTTTCCTTGTAGCCTGTGGGTAGGGCAATAAGGGTTTCCGTGAAACCCGGTGCTGACTCAACATCATTGTTGCGATCATACATGGCTCTTTGACGGGCTGTCATCAACTTGGGATCTTTAATTTTACGCAGTTCAACATCTTCCACTTCCTCCAATTTGCCAGATTCAATGGCCGTCAGCCAACGTTCCTCTTCACTGGATGTACCGCTTTCCCGCCTTTTCTTTGATTTTTTGGCATTAACACCCGCCGCACTTGCCGAAGTGGACGGTTTGTTGGTGGGCGTCTGTGGTGCATTGTCCGGTTTTTTATTCGTTTTCTTGACCTTTTCCACTTTCTCTATGACTTGTCCAGTTTCTTCTTCAATTTTAGTCTCTTCCATACTACAATCGAGCGTTACCTCTTCCACTTCTATGTCAACATTCTCCTCATCGTAGACGAGGGATGAGGATTCATTCATTGCCATTTCTTGTGAGAAGTTCTCATCCACAATAATGTCTTCTTCGACAATTTGTGCCGTCGCGATTTCTTCTGGCGCTGTTGTTTTAATTGTTTTGGACTCCAGCTTTTCCGATTTCTTGTGCTTCGAGGAGGAGGAGGAAGATTTATGATGATGTTTGTGTTTCTTGCGAGATTTATCTCGATGTGTCTTGTGATGATGTTCTGTAGAATGAAGGAGACTTTAATGACTGCCTGTTTACATGCAATAGCAGTTTTATGCTTCTTCTTCTTCTTACCGGATTTTTCTTCCTTTTTGCCCATTTTATTTTGCTTTGGATGTCCTTGTTTTTGGTTTGTTTGTTTTTTCTGATTAAACTAGGGATACGTAGATCGACGTATGACCAAACGGCTTATTAAAAGGGTTGCCATGGTTAAATTAATTACACTTAATAGACGTAATATATAGATGTTTGTAGAATTCGAAGATCTTCCGCTTATTAAAAACCTTAAATGCATTCTGTGTATAGAAAGAGAATACGACTTTTATTGAAAGATTTTGAACTACTTCAATTTTCAAACATTTTTGAATTGTAAAAAATACTTTTCAAGACCTTCTATAGCAGAACTTCTAGAAATAGAAGGAGATTTATAGAGGATTTCTATTTAAATCATTTTTATACCCTACATTACATAGTGGTAGGGTATTATGTCTTTGTGCATTTGTTTTGTAACATGGAGAAGGAAGCGAGTTAGACCCATAGTTACTTTTGAGGGTCTTCATAGAATTACTTTCTAAGCCGATTTATGCATGTCGGTCCGTCCGACCGGTGATGCGCGATTTTTAGATTTGCGTCTATAGCAGCTTTAAAAGTTCAGAAGTCATTTAAATAATCTTCTATCTGGAGACTTTCTATTGTGAAATTCCAAACACTTCCAGAAGTTCTACCATTGAAAACGATCTTCTATCTACCTCTTATTGATCTCCCACGCAAGGATGTCTCATGTCTAGTAATTAATTAAGTCTACAACCTAATGAGGACTTATTGGTCTACGTTCTAGATATTGAATTGGAATTTGGAAAACCAATAAAAGGTCCTCTGTAAAAATAATTCCCTTTCTCTGTACATGAAAATCTTATCATTTGCTCATCTGTAATCTAAATAGGACTTTCACCTCCCAGATTCGAAAATGATACGTCTTCTTGATGTATATAAGAGTCCCTACCCACTCAAAACCTTCTATTCCCCCCCCTATGTATAACTTCTTACCTCTTCTCTGATAGGATAGGTCTACAAGTGGCCATTAAAAAGTAACCCCACAAATTGTTATTTTTTCTTTAATGTTTTTTTTTTATTGATAAAATATTACGTATAGTTGTTGGTTTTTCTTTTTTTGTTTTTGCATAAACGGTTATTACATATATTGTTGTTGTATTTGTTGTTCTTCAATTACCCCCTTTAGGGATAAAATGAAACTGTTTGAAATTCCATGAAAACATTTAACATTAAATATCCATCAACAATTAACGTTTAGAGAATATAGAATAAAAAAAAAATTAATACAATTTGTTTAACATTTTGAATGGTAAAATTTGTTGTTGTTTTTCTTCCAAAATAAATACAACTTGAAAAAGGGGCTGGTGGATTTTTGTAATGTTGGTGAAAAAAATTATATGATTTTTGTAAATAAGTATAAAAATAAATGTGTATTGTGATAATATAATGTGTGGATGCGTGTGTATGTCTGTGGGGAAAAAAACTGCAAAAATTAACCCGGATCGAGGCACAGAAAATGAAATTTCAACTCTCTTTTAAGTTAAAGAAGGAAATATGTCTTTGTAGTTCTCTACCGAAAACTACGGTGTAAAATGTGCTGTATGTAAATCCGGAATTATATTTTGTTCTACAGTTTTTTTTTTTTTTTTTGTAAGTAAATGTACCAAATAAGCGCCATTGCTACATTTTCAGTACATTTATAAAAAAAGAAAAAAATATATTGATTTAATGATTATAATAAATGATATTTTAGAATATTGAGTTGTATCTTCCCTGCCGCCAGCCATCATTCTATCCATCGTTTGATCTAATGATGCGGTTACAACTATGCCTAAGGTTGCTGCATTTAGTATTATCCTTTAGTTGGTATTTGCAAGTGGTCAAGCATTATGCACTATCACTACCACTTGTCCGCCATAGTTAGGGAAGAATTGGACGCGGTCGCACCACATAATGGGTTACAAATCATGTGGGATTGTTACGTTTATTCGAACGCAAACGTGCTAGGCCCGTACGTTCTTCTTCCTCATCGCTGGTGTATTGATGCATGCCACTGGAACCGGCTCCCGAGGCCCCCGATGAAGACCCACCGCCCGATGGATTGCGCACCGAAGATGTGGCCTGCAGTAGCTCCTGATCTGGGGCATTACGATTCTCATAGAGTAGAACCTGCAAAGTTTCCTCATAGATCCTTGCCTCGGGGAACTCTACTTTGGTATGCTTACGATCGGTGGCATACACTATGGAAGTACAGCATACCTCGGCCACCTTTTTGCCATGACCATAAAACGACCAGCAACATATTTCACTTGGTCCAATGACATCCTTTATGAAGAGTATGCGTTCGTTAAAACGCAACGACAGTTTATCGAAAAGTTCAATATTTTTAAGTAAATTGTCGTCCGAATTGTTGGTGTAGGAATACTTGTTATTCTGACGTTGTACCACCAATATAACAGCAGGCTTTGACGATGAACTTATTAGCATTTGTTCCTCTTTCTGCGATGTTATCAGGGGTATACGACAAATCGGTTTGGGTTCTTGATGGGCCACTAGCGCCCTTTCGCAGGACATAGCCAACTCGGTAATACAATAGTACTTTGCCTCGGCCAGGAGTTCGGCTATTTCACGATGAGATTCTGGCAATGGCACCGAACCATCCCGCAAATAGTTGAGAATAGTGCCAAAGAATTTACCACAGCGATCGATTAATATCCAGCCTGGAAGGAAATGAAAAAGGAAAATTCGTTATTAAATCAAAGTCGTTAAAATCAGTTGCTGTGAGAAATATTAAAGCATTGTTTACAAGGAAGAATTTTTTTTTAGGGCAAACAGAAAACACAAATTGAGTACGAGTTAGTTTTCATTAGCATAGATTTTTCTATAGAAAGAAATCACTGGTGCCTATAATTAAGTTTTTGTTACCTTTAATTCATAAAAAAAATGATATTCATTAATAAAATAGTGTGTATTCATTTACAACTTACCTTCCGAATCTGTTAGCACTTCCATGCGACCACTAAACATGGCACTCAACATGGTGTCATTGTGTTTGGTCAGCGTTCCAATTGTCGTATAATACAAACGTCCACCCACATTTAATTTCACATACTGGGAACTGTGACCTTTAATTAAAGTTTTCTGATCACCCGACATATTGGTGGAATTGGTACGCAAAACGAGTTCGTCACAAGGATTGGCTGAGATTTGGAGTTTCGACTCCAAAGCACGTGTAACAGGAACTAAACAATTGGTCGCCTTGGCATTATTACTGCAAACGCTGCCAGAGGCGTTGCTGTTGTTAGTCACCAACGAAGGTAGAGTAGCAATTTTGATGGTTTTAAAATAAAATTGAATTACAAGAAAATTTTAGAAATCAAAGATTATTTCTTGGCAGGATTCGAGCAACAACTTGTCTTTGCAATGCAGTGTGTTGTAAACGCCCTATTTTCGCTTCGTCTGCGTGGAAAAAGTGAAGTAGGCAGAAGCAGAAGATAACACAATTATCAAGTGAAGTAGCGAAGTATCACAAAAAAGAGAGTTGTGGGTGTTTCACGTTTGGTTTTGCTTTATTAATGATTCATTTCCCGCAAATGGTTTATGTTGTCATTTATTTGAAACCAACACGGTCTTGTCTATTTCAATTGTTTATTGTTTTCCTTGAGATTTGATTAAAATTGTTTGATAAACTTTTTTTGTTTGATAAGCAGAGCAGAATAAACTAGTTCAATGAATATATTCACTGAAATGAGTAATGTGAACCGTGTCATTAGTTCATCAAAGTTCCTTTGATGATGCAAAGTTCCATTAAGCCTACCCACATTCAATTGAAGTTATTTGTTGCATTTACATTCTCAATAATAGAAATAATGGAAATTGATATTATTTTCTCAATTGTAGATGGAAATAAAGCACATTGAAGTGATGAAGTTGAATTTCTTATTAATGTCACTAAAGATTTTGTTAATCCATTTAATACCACACTGCAACGTGATATTCACCATAGAATGATAACACAATATTGCTCTCAAATAACAACGTAAAGCGTCTAACGGAAATACGTCGTCTCTTAGAATGAAAAATTCTAAAGTTTAAATGATTTCAAATGTGACCCAAAGAACTTTTAAACAAAACACCCGCATTGCGACCTATTGTAAGTAAATGTATTGAGTATAGGCTTATATTTATTCTTATAACAAACAACTTAATACAATAACAATTAAATTTAAACATTACAAATATTGTAGTCATGAAGTTTTATTCATTTTTGATTTTTCTAAAAAAAGTATAAAAAGAAGATAGTTTATTTTTTTGCTAATTTCTATTTTTTCAACCCACTTTTCAACTCGAATACTTTTAATAGCTCAGCCATCGGATATTCCAGCATTATGGCGATGAAAAAGGAAACAATAACAGCCAATATATAGACCTTAAAATATAATAAAACCTGTAAAGAAGAATTGAATAGATAAAATCGAACTTCATGGGTAGTTTGATATGTCACTATATAGACAAATTAAAATTAAAGTACGACTAAATTATATATAAGAAGAATTTCATTAAAAATGTAGTTCTATTTATGTTTGGTGATAATGCCAATAAAATTTTATGTCAACACATGAGGAAATTTGACAGCCGATTTTTAAACATTTACCTCATACATTGCTGATATCTCAATGAGCTTATCAGAACTGCCAAGCAGTACAACCAGTATAATGAAATGCCACAGATAAACTTGATATGATATTCTTGCCAGAGGACGAAATACGGGCCAATTAGGTATTCCTAAAAGAGTAAATTTAACTGAAATCAAACGCTCAATTCAAACACAGTGCCCTTTTCAAACTTACCACCATACATCTGTCCACACATATTGTATATTACAGCAATTATGGCCATAATTACCAACGACAAGGGTCGATGTAAAATACCATATAATGCTGTCCATATTGATGGCTCTTGAAACAGGAGTTTTGAACCCAAATACCAAATGGCCGGAATAATCGGCCATCCAAGTGGTATAAAGTATTTAATACGACTTTCAATTAATTTTTTATACGAATCATGTTGTAAATACTTCAAATATATTTCGCCACAGATTAGACCAACAAAGAAGCCATTCAGATTGGAATACGTGCTAAGGTAGAGATATTCTCCCGTCTCAACCCCTTGCAAAAAGATGTGACGATAACTTCTGGAAAATATTGAAAATTAATTTAATTCACAAAAAGTGTTTATATATAAAAATATATATTTTTAATAAGCATAAACGATGTCCTTCTGTCTTTCCGTTGAAGTCAGGAATCTGTTAGATAAAAAAGTAAAACATGGCATTGTCTCCTGGATATTGAAAATGGCCTGTATTTGTCGACGATCAGTTACAGGCCTTATACGGTGCCTCCTTATTTTCAGTATTCTGAAGGTTTTGACCTCCATTGAAATCAGCTTCAATTTGACATTCAAATATATTGCTAAGTATATTTTCCTCTTGCCAAAACATTGTACCCCAGTTTTACTGGTTTTACTACTAGGTATTGATGCCATGTAAAAGAACCCACAGTTTTGAAGGATTTTTCTAGTTTTCAGACGCATTTTGTAACCAAATAATTAGTAATTTGTCGTTTGAAGTTCCTGTCCCTGTCCCTGAAGACATTCTTCAATATGTGTTATGTATATGTGTTGGCATTTTAGGATATTATTGGATATCCACTCACTTTACGACAAATGTTTAATGATAAGCCCCTTTTTGACATTAGCTTTATAAAGGTGCTGTTGTCATTTTCCATGTCCACGTTTTCGTATAGCCTCCATTTAATGGTACCTCCCGATATTCGGTATTTTGATGATTTTAGCAACATTCTTCAACGGAATTGTTTCAAATTTGGTATTTGAAGTTCGTAATAGATACTACTGCCTAAGACAGAAAGTTGTCCGTGCAAGTCCACGTCTTCTTATAGCCCCCATATAGCATTACCTCCCGATATTCGGTATTTTGATGATCTTAGCGACATTATTTACCGGAATTGTTTCAAATTTGGTATTTGAAGTTCGTAATAAATACTACTGCCTAAGACAGAAAATGGGACATGTAGGTCCACGTCTTCTTATAGCCTCCATATATTGGTACCTCCCAATATTCGGTATTTTGATGATTTTAGCGACTGTTTTTACCGGAGTTAATTCAAATTTGGTATTTAAAGCTCGTAATGGATACTACACCCTTGGGCAGAAAATTGTCTGTGCAAGTCCACGGCTTCGTATAGCCTCCATATAACGGTACCTCCCGATATTCGGTATTTTGATGATTTTAGCGAAATTTTTTACCGGAATTGTTTCAAATTTGGTATTTAAATTGCCAAATAGGTTCAACAGTTTATGGCAGAAAATTGTCTTTGCAGGTCCAGGTTTTCGTGTAGCCCTCATATATCTGTACTTATCTATATCCTGAATTTTGATGATTTTGGCGACATTATTTACCGGAATTGTTTCAAATTTGGTATTTGGTATGGTAATGGATACTACAGCCTAAGACAGATAATTGGACATGTAGGTGCATGTCTTTGTATAGCCCCTATATAACGGTACCTCCCGATATTCGGTATTTTGATGATTTTAGCGACATTATTTACCGGAATTGTTTCAAATTTGGTGTTTGGAGTTCGTAATGGGTACTTCATTCTATGACAAAAAACCACGTCTTCGTAAAGCCCCCTACTCGATTCCTCCCGATATTCAGTATTTTGATGATGTTAGCGTTATTTTTCAACGGAATTGTTTCAAATTTCGTAATTGCATTTCGGAATCGTTACTACATCCTATGACAAAAAAAAATTCTTCTGCAGAACCACGTCTTCGTATAGCCCCCCATATAACGGAACTTTTTTTTGAAAATTTTCAGGTTTTTTTAAAATTTTGGAGAGTATTAAAAATTCGGACTTGCACTTACTCCACAGTCAATGTACCAATGGATGGTAGTTTCTTTATGTAACCAACTATTGTCGGAAGAAGAGCTCCCACAGTTCCAATTACTGTATATAAGGGGATTTTGTATTTCGGATATCTAAAAAAAAAGAAACAAAAATTTATTTCCAAATTTCAAGAGAAATGTAATTAATATTAGCTTGGAACTTAGGATTAAGACGGCAAGGAATATTGCATATAGCTGGAAATCGGCAGCAATATACCAAGTATGGACCCAACACTGGAAAAAAAAAATAAATAAAATAAAAAACTACGTCTATTATTAAACCAAAGAATGTTAAGAGGCATTCTACAATTTAAAGGCCTTAGGTAGGTTTCTCATTAAAAGAGTAGCTTCCAGAAGGTTCTTCTAGTAATTGGGGACCTTGAAATATATTTTATTTTTATTAATGAAGGACCTATAGGAAGTCTTCTTTTTATAGAGGATCAGCAGAGATTTACAGGTTCTTCTCTATATATAGCGATATTTCCTGGGAAGACAATACTTTACTTCGTAGGACCTCATTTCTAGAAGATATTTTATACATAGAAGAACTTCAGAAGATCCCATTTCAAGTGAAGACAATAAAATGGCCCTTCGCCAATTGAGGAACTTTTTATTCTAAAAAAAATGTCTAAAAAAACTTCTCGCTGGAAGAGTACCCCTATTACTTACACAATTATTTATGCCCAAATTAGCGGTCATCAAAAGATTTGACCACCACTCACTGCGGCACAGAACAACATTTGGTTCCATGACATGCCTCCAGAATGGTCCTTGCTGGACATATAACATAACATTCGATGTCAACAAAATTGGCAAAAGGAGCGATGGCATGTATCTGCAAAAGAAGAATATTAATTAATTAATCTTTCGATTGTCTTCTACTGACATACCTTAAATATCTTGAGATCAAAAGACGTAGGAATACGATTAAACACTCTTTGATCGAACTTTGCGGTGTTATAAATTCACCTTTTTTAAATTTCAAACACAACATCAGACCGCTCAACATGAAAAATAGCTCGATGCATACTATTATATGGACAATGATAAGGGTAAAAGGATTCGAATACATTTGTTCAAATAATTCAGGATTTTTTGTTGGCATAAATTGTGTATAAGTCGTGTGTTCACCGACAATCACCAGTGAGAGAATTGTTCGAAAACAATCGACAAATTGAAGATCTCTACCCATTGGACTGTGATTCGGTATCACAAGACGACGATAATTACGATACAGCGAAAAAGAACAGAGATTGTGGTGGGCTGTACGAAAAGAGAGATCAATGGATGTAGATGAATATTCAAAATGTATTCTTTATACATACCCGTAGATTTATGCGGCTTGTCATAGTACTCGGAATTTTCTTTAGAATTGTTCTGCTTGTTTTTCAAGTACCAATCATAAATTGTAGAAAAAATATTCAGGAGCACAATGCATATCAAGATGGATATGGTAAAGTAATACCATCGACCTATATCGGAAAGTAATGAAGAAAATTAAATATTGAACAAGTAAAAAAGCAGCTAAATTCGGCCGGGTCGAACTTTTTATTATCGAAAAATTTCAAAAAAAAAAAAAAAAATCCGTCGGAAAAAACCGTTCAAATGAAAGCCGTTATATGGGGGCTATACGAAGACGTGGTCCTGCATAAGTAATTTGTGTCATAGGCTGTAGTAACGGTTCCGAACTTTATATACGAAAATGGTGAATAACGTCGCAAAAATCATTAAAATGCCGAATATCGGGATAAGCCGTTATATAGGGGATATATGATATCGTGGACCTATATAGACAATTCTCTTTCCGGGGGTAAAGTGCTCATAAAGAACACCTTGCGTAGAATTTACGACAATGCCATTGAAAAATGTGGCTATGGGGACTATACAATATCGTAGATCGATATAGCCCATCTTCGAACTTGACCTGCCTGTAGACAAAAGACATATCTGTGCAAAATTTTAGCTTCCTATCTTAATTCGTTTTGACTGTAGCGTGATTACAAAAGACGGACGGACAGACAGGGCTAAGTTGTCATAGAATTTTACGCTGATCAAGAATACTTTCAAACTATGAATGGTGGAGGGTATAAAAACTTAGCATGGCTTATGAAGGCGATGTATTCTATGCATCGAAAACCATGTAGGTCGTCCAATAAGAGAATACCCCCAAAGACGTCTAGTGTGGATAAAATACCAGGGGCCATCGGAAAGATTTTAAGGAATACTGTACAGTGAATATTTTCTGGCATATTTTTTAAAATTCATCGAATTTAATATAAGTTAATATAACCTCCATAGAATAGTGAAGGGTATAAAAATATGTAAGTACGGCGGGGCCGGAACTTTGAATACCCTACACAATTTGGTAGAAATTTGGCAATTTTCAAAAAAATAAAATCCCTTATAAATTCTGTTAAAAATATCGAATGTAGCCGTATATTAGGGTCTACACGCCGACGTGTATCTGCATAGGCAGCTTTTGTCATAAGCTATTGCAATATTCAAATGCGAAAGTTGAAAAAAATCTTTTTATAATGTAGCTAAAATCATCAGAATACCGAATATAGGGACTTACCATGGGGGTTATAAAACGTGGACCTGCATAGACAATTTTCTGGTATAGGCTGTAGTATTCATTACGAACTTCAAATACCAAATTTTAAATAGTTCCGGTAAATAATGTCTCTAAAATCATCAATATAATGAATATCGGGAAGTACCATTATATGGCGGCTATACGAAGACGTGGATCTACATGGTCCATTTTCAGGTTTTACATATAATTTTGAGATTTTTACTAATTTTCCGTTTCTGGACCAAGCAATTCTCTCAGAGCAAATGTAATATTCCTCTCTTTTACTAGTTTTACCATAAAAAGTACCTGATCCCAATAAATATTATCGAATTTTTAAAGAATATTTTTTCAAGCATCTCTAAAGGTGAGAATACATAAAGCGCTTTTTTGACTGGCTTAAGTCATCGCCTAGCTTTTTCGGAAAAGAACAAAGAAGCGTAGAGCGAACAAGTATAAATTATGGATCAAAATCGAAATAAGTCAACCTAAAACTCCATTGTTATTTTACGCGGAATCCAGTCGATGAATTAAGCCAGTCAAAAAAGCCTTTTATGTACTCTCACCTTAAAGATAGTCAGCTATTGAAGGAAATTCTAAATTTATACGCGAGAGAGAAACACCTACAGGCCTGTTTTTATCAAGAACATGCTCCAGAGGTCTCGTCAACCTTCAATTCATTCTATTTTGGTAGTAATAGTTTCTGCAGTTTGCCTTCGTCCCGGTTTGTATGTTTATTTTATTTATATCTTACCTTTTTCCAGTGGTTCCTTCGGATTCTCACAGTATGTCGTAAAAGTCTTTACACTTAGATTATATCTTTGCCGAAACTCGGAATTAACACACTGTTGGATGTTATCTCCATTATCTACAACAGTTTTTTGATTTCTCGAAATTTCATGCAGTCTCTGGGCCATTTGTACAATTTTGCTATCCAACAACCTGTCGCCGGCCACAGGATCCTCATAGTTTCCATTGATACATGGGGAAGTACAAACACTGCGATACTTAGCGTCAGGTACAATATCGCTCCCCAACAACTTGTCGCCTGCCATTGTAACCTCAACACCTCCATTGTTACATTGGGATGTGCAAATTCCGCGATACACTTGATCATGGCGATAATGATAAGCATTGGAATTTGAATGATTCCATAGATAATGCCACAGTGGAGATGAATTATCCGCTTGAATTTCAGCATAAACCCAACAATATGAGCTCGAGGGTTGTTGCAGACAATCTCGGTAGTCTGCTGTGGCATATAGCGGTGGTAGCTGTTCATAGTTGAATTCTATTGGGAAATTTAATTTTAAAAACAAAAACAGAAAATCTAAGATAAACAATGGCTCTCCATTACCCTCACTTGGCACCGCGGCAATGCTGTAAGTTACACCCATGAAAATAATCCAAATTAGCAAATTTTTTACACTTTGCATTTTGTTGTAGTTGTTCGGTTGTATTTGCAATGTCTATTTCCACCCGTGTACGAATCACTACTAATCGAGAGTTTATCTCTCCGGCCCACGTTCACTTCCATTTGCATGTCCAAATGACGAAGTAAACATACTTACAAGCGTAATGATTCGAAATAACAATAATTTGTTAATTATTTAAACTCTTTCTAACAGGTTTCCATGCTACGATCAGCATGCGACAGAATTTATCAAAATATAACGAAAATTTAGGCGGGGAAAGAGAACCGCAAATATATACTACTTTTTAAATTTACCAACAAATTGATCGGTTTTCGGGGCTAATTTAAAATTAAATATCATAAATATTTTAATATTACCAAAAATTACATGAATAACCCAACAAACAGTTGCGCTGCGAATCATCAGGCAGTGATAATAGATGTGGAAGATAACCTGATAATTATAATAAAATGTAGCCTGATAATCCAAAAGCCTAGCAAGAGCTATCCTATACGATCAGCTGATTTGTTGGCGATATGATTTTTTTTTGAATTTTGAACAAATAACAAATTAAAAAAGCTGTAAGTTCGGCCGGGCCGAACTTTGAATTCTCTCCACCATTTGGAACGAATTTGGAAATTTTCAAAAAAATAAAATCCGTTAAAAATTCGTTAAAAGTCTTAAAAATACCGAATATAGCCGTTAAAATAGCGTCTGCATAGGCAACTTTTGTCATAAGATTCGCTGAATAATGTCGCTAAAATCATTAAAATACCGAATATCGGGAGGTACAGTTATATGGGGGCGTGGACGTGGACCTGTACAGACAATTTTCTGTCATAGGCTGTAGTATCCATTACGAACTTTAACCACCGAATTTGAAACAATTCCGGTGAATAATGTTGCTAAAATAGACAAAGTACCGAATATCGGGAGGTATCGTTATATGGAGGCTATACGATGACGTGGACCTGCCCAGACAATCATCAAAATACCGAATATTGGGGGGTACCGTAATATGGCGGCTATACGAAGACGTGGACCTGTACAGACAATTTTCTGTCATAGGCTGTAGTATTTATTTCAAACTTCAATTACCAAATTTGAAGCAATTCCTGTGAGTAATGTCGCTAAAATCAACAAAATACCGAATATTGGGGTATACCGTAATATGGGGGCTATACGAAGACGTGGACCTGCACAGACAATTTTCTGACATAGGCTGTAGTATCCATTACGAACTTCAAATACCAAATTTGAAACAATTCCGGTGAATAATGTCGCTTAAAGAACCAAAATACTGAAAATGGGGAGTTACCATTATATGGGGGCTATACCAAAACGTGGACCTACATGGCCCATTTTCAATACCCCGCCGACATAATATACATTTGAGTAAAATTGTATCAACCTACTTCATTTCGTTCGGAAGACAGAGTGAATTCAAGAGACAGACAGATCAAAAATATGCTGATCAAGAATATATATACTAGGGAGATACCGTTAAATTGGGGATATACCGTATCGTAGACCTATATAGACAATAATCTTCCAGGGGATGAAGTACTCAGAAAGAAATCCTTTTGTGAGTTCTCAGACAAATTTATTGAAAAATTTGGCTACAATCATCAAAATACCCAATATCATGGGTACCTTTGTAAGGGGGCTATACGATATCGTAGACTTATATAGACAATTCTCTTCCAGAGAGTAAAGTACTTAGAAAGAACTCCTTGTGCGGCTTTGCAGACAATTTAATTGAAAAATGTGGCTAATATCATCAAAAAACCGAATATCGGGGGGCTATACGATATCGTGGACGGATGTAACCCATCTTCGGACTTCACCTACCTGCAGACAAAAGACTGATCTGTGCAAAAGTTTAGCTTCCTATCTTTATTCGTTTTGACTCTAGCGTGATTACAACAGACGGACGGACGGACAGGGCTAAATCGTCTTTTTTTTACGCTGATCAAGAGTTACAAGCGGTTGTATCGTATAAGAAAACTTATAAAAATCTACTTATTTTTGAAAAAAAAAAAAAAAAAAAAAAAAAAACAACATTTTAAAATATTTGACATATCAATGTACCCAAGCGTTGATCCGTCTACCTGTATTCTTCTACCATGAAGCAGCGGCGTTTTTATACATACCATGGCAGAAGAATACAGGTAGATGCATCAACGCTTGGGAGCATTGATATGTCAAAAAATTTTAAATGTTTTTTCAAATATAAGTAGATTTTTATATGTTTTCTTATACTACGTCATTCGGAGGCTTTATAATTCGCGTTTTCAACAATTTTTACAAATTTAAATAATTTTTCATTCAACATTTTCAATTTCAAAATTGGTTTGACAGTTCATTGTCCCAGCAGCTGTGTCGACGCGTCTACCTATATTCTTCTACCATGATACATACATTTTCTAGTCCCGTTGTCAAAAAAAAAAAAATGATAACAAACATATTCACCACAAGGCCAAGGCGAAACTATTTTTTTTTTCGCTTCAAGCATGAATTTTGACATTCATGTGGTAAAATAACAGCTGTTTTAGATTAATTCGCTCGTAGAAAGACCTTTAAAATTGGGCCATGTATGTGCTGCTAAAGGGATAATAAAAGTATCCATGTGTATTTCCGTGTGTATGTAAAAATTGCCATTTTACATATGACTCATAATTCTTGCTATCACACACTTGCATGTGTCACTTTTATTTCCTTTGTGTTTTCCAAAAAAGAGAAATAATATTTTATCGATGATTTTTTACTGCAAATTTAATATTCTATATTCTCAGCAGGGACAATGAATTGTCAAACCAATTTTGGAAATGTGAAAATGTTGAATGAAAAATTATTTAAATTTGTAAAAATTGTTGAAAACGCGTATTATAATAACCTCCGAATGACTTCGTATTGGAAAACATATACAAATCTACTTATATTCGAAAAGACATTTAAAATTTTTTGACATATCATTTTTTGACATATCAATGTTCCCAAGCGTTGAAAGCATCTACCTGTATTCTTCTACCATGGTTCTCAAGCAACACACAAATTACACTTTTGATTAAATTATATCTATACGACTTTGTCGTAAACAAAGACAAGCCACATTTATAGAAAAAAAATGACAAGTAATGTTTGAAAAATCCAAAAATAGGATTTCAAAATTCTATTCCATAACTTTCCCAATTAATTACATTAACTATGTTGTTACGATATCATAACAACAGAGGTATTTTCACAGGGTTGCCATATTTTGGCTCTATCTTGTCCCATCTTTTTGTTTACGATGGAAATAGGGCTCTCTGTGAGCGAAAAAGTACATATGTACTTAATTCATGTATTTCATAAATGAAATGTCGCCCATTTATCGCACGATGTCTGCAACTTCTACATATGGAAAATTTGACACTACATATGTAAAAAACATACATACAGTGTTGCGCAAAACAAAAGCAACAAAATGTGTCTTAATATGCATCCTATTTTAGTTTTAAGTCACTTTGAAACACAATGTCTACTCAAATGTTTGCTTTGTGGTTATGAGAATAATTCTAATAAAGCTCTCTTAGCTTTTGAAGTACAGTAATGTTACAAATGAGACAATAACCGTGGATCTTTAAAAAACAGAGTGCAAAACAATAGCAACAAATTATGAAGTATGCAAAAAGAGTAAACCAATCGAAAATATTAACGGTACTTTTGATGAAAACATTCTTTTTGTGGCGTGACACAAGATATTCAATAATATTTGCATTAGTTCTTGCCCTAACTTTCACTGTTCCGTTCATTTTATGATGGATCGAGATAAATATTGTACTGCCTTAAAATCTCAAATTATTTCTGAATATAAGAATGGAAAATCTCAAATATCAATTGCCAAGCAGTTCAATATTAATCGATTTGTTATTTGTAGACTAATAAAAAAGTATAATAATACACATGACGTAATAACCGTGCATTCTGGTGGGTGGCCACGGAAGACATCGGCACGTGACGATAGAAAAATTTGTGGCATGTTCAAAAAAAAAAAAACATTTGCTACATCTCAAGAGGTTGTAAAGCCACTCAATTTAAGTATCCACCATAGCACAGTTCGCAGACGAGCAATTGAAAATAATTTAAGAAGTTACAGACCTGCCAAAAAACCCCTACTTACAGCCAGGCATAAGCAGAAAAGGTCGGTATTTCACGTTAAACTTAATTGTCTAAAATTGTTTGTTATATTGTTGATATTACTAATTTCTAGGCTCAATTTTGCAAAAGCACATCTCGATTGGACCATCCAAAAGTGGAAAACCGTTTTGTTCAGCGACGAGTACAAACTTAATTTGATCAATTCCGATGGAATGTGTACAGTACGGCGTCGCCCAGGTACACGGCTTGAACCTGGAAACTGTAAGGTCAATTTTAAACACGGAGGGGGTGGTATAATGGTCTGGACTTGTTTTTCGTATTGTGGCGTTGGCCCTTTTCATAGAATTGATGGAGGTATGGATAGTTTTGTATATAAGGGTATTTTGGAAAATCAAATGCTTCCATATGCAGAGTGGAATATGTCACTTCAGTGGATTTTCCAACATGATAACGACCCGAAACACACCTCGAAACTTGTTAAAGACTACATATCCGCCAATGGAATTAAAGTCCTGGATTGGCCGGCACAATCGCCGGACCTTAATCCAATCGAAAATCTCTTTGGAATTTTGAAGAGGAGTGTTTCGGGTCAGAAGTTTTCCAATAAGAATTTATTGTTCGAAGCTCTTAAACACAACTGGGAAGAAATACCTGAAGTTATTATACATAATTTAATAGAGTCCATGCCTCGCAGATGTGCAGAAGTAATAAAAAATAATGGTTCTTATACCAAATATTAGTATGTTGCTTTTGTTTTGCACACACAAAAATGTTGATTAGTCATATTAATTTCGATTTTCATCAAAAATATAAAACAAGAATAGGTTATAATTTTGATTTTTATTCTGTACCAATGTATTGTTCTATTTATGTGAAATTTT